TTTAAAAAAAAAATTCTCAAAAATTTGCAAGGTAAGGTATAGTTAAAAGTTCAGTATTAGATAAATAAGGACTTCAACTATTAGAAAAAAATTAATTTTAGTCATAATCTAATAACTTTTTTTTTAACATTTGAGGCGAGAGGTGTGGCGAAAGGACATCCTTAAAGTGTCTGCGCTAATAAAAAATGATGTTTGAGTATAAAATTTGGATTGTCTAACTCATTTACTGTATGTATTTTAATAGCTTGAAGTGTAGGTTTCATAAAACAAATATACTTACTAAAACATGAATACAAATAACAACGATTTCATAAAAAACTGTTCAATATGTTCACCATTTTCATGCAAACAAAGATTTATTAAGCGATGCAAAATGAAATTACTCTTCGTATAACTTTTTAATCACCTCTAACATCTAACGTTGCCACAGTTGCTCTTCATTATCTATAACTTTCTTGTAAACCGTGAACTTGTCCATATAATAAATAATCCAACGGAGTTAAGTCTGGAAAACGTGGTGGCCAATTTACAGATGAGCCTTTACCTCTACCTATCCATTTTCTTGAATTTTACAAAGGAATGTTCTTTAATTAAGTCTGTTACTGCCGATTTTGTCAGGCCAACAGAAGGGCCAGGTCAAAACACTATTTACTTGGCTGCTTTCTTGGCTAGGAATCAGCAATATGGTTACCTTTGGATGTGGCGTGACTTATGATCCATCTTAAAGTGACCACATTGTTGATGGATACTTCGGCCAAAACTTTGTGATATTCTAGTACTAACCCTGAGTAAATTCGTGGTATGTTCAGGGTGAGCAGTGCTTGACTGCTATCTGTATAGATGAGCATGTTCCTTCCAGTGATATTGTTTCTAGTGATTTCTTTTGCTGCTATTAAAATCCCCGTTAGCTCTGTTTAAACTATACTGGCACTATTGATCAGAGACCAGTTTATATTTAGGTTTAAGAATCAATTTTCGTCACGGCAACTAGAAAAGAAGTCCTAGATATGACTCTGTGCTCGAGTAAAGTGGCATGTATCAGACGAATCATCGTGCTCAGACCACAAACAGATTAGATTTGATCTAATTACCCCACCTAGAATTTCAGCCGAATACAGAAACCCTAGAGAGACGAAATGAGAAAGGTATTCAACATCACTTGGAGAGTATCTCGAAGAGGGTATGGTGAAAATAGCAGGTGAACAAAGCCTTGACCGAGCAGTAAACCAAGTAAGTAATGCCATTATAACCGCTTACGAGGAAAACTGTCCAGAGAAAACAAGGCAGCAAAGAACAAAAACAATCTGGTGGAACAAACACTTGGAACGCCTTAGAGATGAAGTACGAAGGCTATTTAATAAAGCTAAGTTAATCGAGGACTCTGTCCTATATATGGCTAAACTCATGCAGTACAATAAGGAGATAAGAAAGGCCCAAAGGCAATCGTGGAAGAAATTCTGCGAGGAGTTATCCGAAACACCCACATGTTCTAGAATCCACAAAGTCTTAGCTAAAGAGGGTACTGAAAACCAAGTAGGATTTCTCAGGAAAGATGATGAAACCTATCTTCGAGAAAACGTTAACAATACTCACAGAAGTACACTTTCCGGCCTCAGAAATTTTGTTAAACCCGATAGTAGGAGACAGCCCTCAAAGATCTCGTAGGCCTATTTGTTTGCAATGGAGGCTAGCTACAGAAATATCGAGGCTGGACAAAATTAAATGGGCTACAAACAAATTTTAACCATACAAATCCACAGGAGTAGATGGAATATATCCCATTCTACTACAAAAGGGATAGAAAATTTTAAATCTACATATTTATTGCATATTTAAAGCATGTATGAGATGTACCAAAGGCGTGGCAAAAGGTGAAAGTCATAAATTAGGAAGGTTTAATAACATCACACCAAAGTCGCCCAATAAGTATATCGTCTTGGAGTGAGGGTAGCCATATGTGAATAGTGAGAAATAAAGGACCTTTTCTTTAACCTTTACACTTAAGTATATCGTCATTCATGCTCAAAACGCTAGAAAAACTAATAATAGAGACGAGACGGGACGAATTACTGAGAGGAAATCCTCTCAGCGATCGTGAATATACATCTCAGTCAGAAAAGTCAACCGATTTGGCTCTGAATTATCTCAACCGGCTATTGTCAGAATCCCTGGAGGATAAAGATAGTAGGAACTTTCGTAGATATTAAGGGAGCTTTTAGTGATGCCTAAACAAGATCTACACTGACAGCTAAAGCAAGCAGGGGCTGCCCCCAGGAGTACTATCACTCCTCTTCTTGTCAGTCGCAATGGTCGAACTCATAATATCTGCATACTTCAACTGCCTAGAGTGTGCCGATCACCTGGCGATCGTCTTAAGAGGCAAGTTTGCAGGTACAATATCGAAGCGAACACAATCCGCTCTAATTATTGTTGACGAGTGGTGCAGAGAGGAGGAACTAACAGTAAACCCTCGCAAAACCACAATAGTCAACTTCAGAAAACGAAATAGATCGACAGGACTAAAGTCACCAGTACTAAAAAGAGTGAATATTCAATTTGTTCAAGAAGCCAAATACTTAGGAGTCATCTTTTACCACAGGTTAACATGGAATCAACACTTGCAAAAAGTCACCCGAAATAGCACAATAACTAATGTCGAAGGCTGTGTGGAAAAAATTGGGTACTACAACCAATAATGTCCCTATGGCTATATACCAGAGTCATAAGGCCGATGATAACCTACGGGTCGGTGGTATAGTAGTCAAAGAATTGGCAAGCTGGAGCTATTAGATAGCTTAATGGTATTTAAAGGCAAGCATGCCTGAGTACCACGGGAGCCATGAGAACGACTCCAAAAGCAGCTATAAAAGTCATGCTAAACCTAATACCCACTAAATATATTCAGTCAAGGCGAAGGCCGGTCTGTCACATACAGATTGCCCTAAGGTTTATTAATCATAAGCAGTTTGCATGGACGTAACTACAGCGAGCTATATAAAGAGTTGAAGAATAACCAAATAATGGGAATGTATTCCGATGAAATACTCCCAAAGTATAGCTTTCAAAAGCAATATAAAGTAAGTATATTTGACCTTCTATTTGTGCAGAATTCACCTGGTATACAGACGGCTCCAAAACCCATAAAGGCTCAGGTTCAGAAGTAGGTACATATAGTACTAAGCCAAAGACAAGAATCTCACTGAGCTTAGGTAAATATGCGACAGTATTCCAGGCAGAAATAGCAGCAATACATCACTGTGCAAAAGAGGTATTAAGACAGAAAGTAAATGGAAAAAACCATTGTCATATACTCAGTCAAGCGACGTTAAAAGCACTCAGTTCTCTGCAGGTATACCCAAAGCTTGTGTGAGACTGGGTAGTCGAAACAGAGTAACCTTGACCTGGGTAACAGGCCACAGAGTACATAAGGACAACAAATAGGCTGATTTAAAAGCCCAATAAGGAGACTCAAAGGATCTTATTCGCCCAGAACTTTTATGTGGTATCACAAAGGCAACTACCAGAACATGCACAAAGCAGTGGATGTTTAAAAAATCTCAGGAGTGGTGGAAAAATTCACCAGTACAGAGACAGGCCAAAGAGTTCTTAAAAGGACCATCGCCTAAACTCACCGAGCATCTACTAAACCTTAATAGGAAAAATACTAGAGGTCTATTAACAGGGCATTGTATGCTTAACAAACATATGTATAATATCGGTCTGACAGAAAAGACCTTTTGTCGATTCTGTCAGGAAAAGTAGAAAACTGCAGAATACGTATTGTGCTACTGCGAAGGTCTAGCAATACTGAGATTCCTTACACTTGGAGAAGAAAAACCAAGGGCAACTAGCTATGCCGGAGAACTACTTCCCAATCCATGGAGTCTACTACAAAAGACCAAATTATACAAGGTACTCTAAAGAACGATTAAAAGTTATGCACAATAGATCTGAAAAGGCCAAGGTGGGAAGGCCACATGATCCACAGTACTAATTAAATCTAATCTACATGAAACAGAATTTCGTAACGTGTTACATACAATTTTTTTTTTGTGTTTTGGTAAAAAATTACTGAAATCTTGGCAACCAATATTACTTTCTTGCATTGTTAATTGCATATACATAACTTCATTCATTTTAGAGACAAATAGACAATCTAATTTATTCTCAAGGGCTATAGTGTGTTTATATTGCTTGCCAAAATTATTTAGTTTTAAAGAAAGTGGGTTATTTTGTCGTTTATTGTGTTTTAATTATTTTGGGCTAACTTAGAATAAAAGACCAAAAAACATTATTATTGGGTTGTAGGTTTAACCAAATGCTATTTTTATAAGTCAACCTGCCCTTCTTTGATATAAACTTTCAATAACAATTAATTTTAAAATCAAAATTTTATATTGTTTGACATTATGCAACTGGTTGGCACTTGCTGAAATTGAAAAAAATGTCAGTTTATTTGTCAAAATTGGAAAAAAACTTTTTTTAACTTATTTTTTTGTTAATGTACCAAATTTAAGCGGAATGGCATATGCAGTTTTATATTTTAATGGAGAAACGATTTAAAAAATTGTAAACTAGGGTCGTCTAGCACCAAAACTGAGACGCTTGGTACCGATTTAAGTTTACTTAAATCACCTTATTTTAGTCTAAGGTAATATATATTTTTGTGAATACAGTTTATAGACCCTGTATAATATGTTAAATAAATAAATCAAAATTAAACACAAAAATATTTTTTATTGCAATAATTTTCTTCCGGCCGAAATGGGACTTTAAGTCTGTTTGGATTACGACGAAAATAAAATGATCACCGCCCGAAATGTAACTTTTTATACTGCACGAAATAAGAGCCGAAGTGGAACTAATAATTAACTAATAAAACTAATCGTTTTGACTAGCCGTAAACATTCAGGTAGCCGACACATTTTACGAGTAATTAATCATGTTTATAGTATTGTTTTTAAATAAAGCACTTAAGGTATTGTTACTTATTGACTTACCTGGAACAGGTGCTAAATAAATTAAAGTAACGGTTGCGGCTATCATTGCAGACACAATGGATAACCTGCAGACAATCATATTTGTTCCATCTGTCATATTGAAAGTCTATTTCTTATTTGAGCTTTTGTCACTATTTAATGAGGCAGAAGAGAACTTTTGTTGTCATTTTTGTCACTAGTAACTGGAGCTTGTTTTAACGTTGAAATCATTCAAATCGCCTTTCAATATTTCCTGTAAAAATAAAAGGGCATAAAAATATCAATAAACATAACATGTACATGAGTAACAAAATTCGTTTCAAAAAATAGGATTTGGTAAAATTACATCTCATATTAAACTAATAATATCACCCGCAATGTACAAATATCCGATACTTTTAGTTGATTAATCATCGACAATTATACACTAAGTATACTTTACCAATAGCTGATAATCATGATTGGTACAATAATGCTGTAAAATTCAGTAGGCAAGTTTGTCATGTTTTATCATTGCTTTTGTACTGTAACTATAAATTATTAAACTGTTAATTAATTCGTGATAATATCTATTGAATACAACTTTTGATATTGGAGAGAGAGAGAGAGAGAGACTGATCTATATTTTTTAATAAATGAATTGATTTTCTGGTATTTTATTTATTTTTTTTTTTTTGCTATATTTGATCTTGTCAAATAATTGTGATCAATTATTGTGGATGTTACAATATTATGTTTTATTGCAAAAGTCAGAGATGTTTTGACAAATAATCTTCTTATATCTAAGATTTGCATTTCGTGAGATAATTGGTTAGAACTAAACCGTTGTGGTTTAAAAGACATTTTTAAAATTCTTTTTTGAACTATCTCTATAGGTTCCATAAATTTTTTTCTTAAACCACCCCTACCAATTATTCAATAATTTAGCAATGATTCTACAAGAGCAAAATAAATTATCTTCATTTTATCTAAGGTAAGTATATAGCGGCATTGATAAAATTTGTAAATTAACGAACACATTTTCTTTTTCAGACTATCCGCGTGAGCATCCCATCTAAGGAAGGTATCAACAAAAATGCCAAGGTATTTTACGTGTTTTGAAAAATAAAGGATTTCGTCCTTTTCCAAAGTGATACTTCTATAATTAGGAAGAGTACTTTCATTTATACAGAAGGAAATGACTTTAGTTTTTTGAATATTTAGGGTTAACAAATTCGATTAAAAACATTTTTTTACTTTTTTCAGATCTTCCTCAATTTTGTTTTTGACTAACTCCCAATTTTTTCCACAGCAAAGTAGGACCGTATCATCAGCAAAAGAGATTATATGACTTGAAGTTTTAATAGCAAGTAAGTCATTTAAATATATAATAAAAAGGATAGGTCCAAGAACGGTGCCTTGTGGAACTCCGCAAGACACTGTTCGTATTCCACTGATTCATTAATTTTAACACGGTGATATCTATTCATTAAAAAATTTCTAAAGATTGTTAAGGGAGTACCTTTGATACCAAGATGTTCCATTTTGTCAATTAATAATTTGTGACTTACTGTATCAAAAGCTTTTTGTAGATCTATAAATACACCCATGCATGATTTTTTATTATCTATTGCTTTGTATATTTCTGAAGTAAGTTGGGGTATAGCATCTTCCGTTCCCATTTTTTCCCTAAAACTGATTTTTTGAAAGTATATTTTTTTGTTCTAGGTAATCAGATAATCGAATATTGACAATTTCTTCAAATATTTTAGAAAAACCCGATGTAAGTGAAATTGGCCGATAATTATTAATTTCCGTTTTTTCGCCTCCGTTTTTACGTCTCCGTTTTTACGCCTCCGTTTTTTTTTTTGTTTTTATTGGTAATCTTAAGTATTTTACATTTTCTAGGACATTTCATTTTCCTATTTCCCTGTTATAGGAGTTTCCCTCCTTTTCAGGGTGGTCTGCCCTGATTACAAAAGTAACCTAGCTAGCTAATTCCTAATTTTGTGCGCGTGTGTGGGACCTGTGTGGCAGGTTGTGTTCCCCAAGAATACCGCCAATTTTGCTATTTCCAACTCCATAAATGGACAAGTCCAAGTATGAGGTGGGGAATATGATTTAGGAAAACCACAAAACCTAAACCACGATATTGTACATGTGTTTTGAATGTCGTGCGTGTAGATGAGGTAGAGGGGAGGGGCCAGGACCGAGCCCTGTGGGACTCCTGCTAGTGGGGTGAATGTGTCGGATAGGGAGTTGCCCACTTTGACGGTGATTTTTCTGTCTGAGAGGTAGGAGTGTATAAGTTTGGAGATTTGGGGGGGGAGACCTGTTCATAAGCTTTTTGACTAGTCCGGCATGCCAGACTTGGTCAAAGGCTTTTTTAACATCAAGGAGAACGGCTGAGGAGATTTGTTGGGAGTTTACTGCTGTAACAGCGGTAGTATGAAGGGAAGTGATTGCGTCCTAAGTGGAGTGGTGGGGTCTGAAACCATGTTGGGATTGAGGTATGATGTTTCTCTCTTCACAAAATTCCCAGATTCTTTCCTTGAGCAGAAGCTCGAGGAGTTTCCCTAGGACTGATATGAGAGAGATGGGTCTGTATGAATTTAAGGATTTGGGGTCTTTGCCTGGTTTAAGGATCAAAATGGTGTTTGCGGATTTCCAGGCAATTGGAAAATAGGATAGGGAGAGGCAGGAGTTTAGGATAAGAGTGAGAATGGGAAAGATGGTTTCAGGAAGATGTTTCAGCGTTCTCCTGTGTATGGAGTCTGGCCCGGAGGCCGTGTTTTTGCCTGCTTGGCAGGCGTTTAGGATGTCTTGGGGGTGAATGGGGTGGTCAGGGGGTTTTCGACATCCATAGGGGGAATGGGGCGGCAAGTGTCTGAAGGACGTGTTGTTCGGTCTCGTTTTTGAATTGTTCGTCATAGTGGGGGCTGCCGGGGGTTCGGAATGTGGCTTCAAGGTGTGTTTTATGGGCCATGGCATTTTCTTCGGGGGTTGAGTAGATTTGACCGTCGATTTGGAGGTGGGAGTGAGTTTTGGATTTTTGACCCGTGATTATTCGGAATTTGTCCCAAAACTTGGAGCCGTCTCTATGATCCAAATTAGATGTGGTATTGATCCATTGTTGCTATTTGTGCAAGTTGATTTGGAGCCTGATCAGGGCATTGAGGCGGTTCCATTCAGTTTTGATGACAGGGTCGTGGGTACGGACGTATTATCTATACAGGCGTCGTTTTTGAGAGACGAGAGTAAGGATGAATTGGGGGAGGGCTTTTTGCGCTGTGTTTATGGAAGTGATAGGGGTGGGTGTTTCGACGGCGTGGGTGATGGAGGTTTGGACTTCATCGATTATGGTTTCGATGTCCTGCGAGGAACTTCATCGATTATGGTTTCGATGTCCTGCGAGGAGTTGAGCGGGCGTTGCTCTGGAATGTTAGCAGAGATAGTTCTCTGAAATAGGGGCCAATCTGCTTTTTTGAGGTTACGGAAGGTGTGAATTGTAGCTCTTGGCGGAATGGGCGCAAGTAGAGATGTGTGTAACATCAAAGGAATGTGGATCGTCACACCAATGAAGCATCTATCAGCAACCAGTCCAGTACAGGAGTCTGTCAGGAGGATGTGGTCGATGATAGATGATCCCAGGTGGGATACGAAGGTAGGAAGTCGGTTTGAGGCTCTGAATATGGGGAAGTCTATGAGCAGATTAGCTGGGCGGATACCGTTTGGGTTAGAGGCGTGATCTCCGAACATGGTATGTCTGGAGTTCAGATCTCCAAGCAAAACGGCTCGTGGGAGAGATGATAGGTATTCTATCAGTGGTAGGGAGATGATTTGGCCTGGGCGGTTGTAGTACGAGATGATTGTTAATGGATTATCTATCGGGAGGTCTATTGCAATTATGTCCAGTTCAGCTAGATGAGCTGGAAAAGTGTGTGAGTTGAATGGAATTGAGTTTTTAATTAAAAGAGCATTCCCAAAAGAGTTTTGGGATTCATTTAAATGAACAGTTTGATAACCAGTGAAGCTGGGTGGAAGTTTTGACTTGGTGTCTGTTAGGGATAGTATTTGAAATATTTTTGTCAACCTGGCGGATGACAAGAGAGAATTGGGGGGCGAGGGGGGATCTGGTGTTTTTTTCTGGAGGGTTTTGGGCGTATTTGGGGTTTAGGATTATTTTGTTGTCCCCCATCCGCTGTCTAATGAGGGTCTGAAGTTCGGTGGGGGTTTTGGTTAAAGAAGTTTTTATTAGGGCGGTTTTGTTATAATTGGCCGAAATAGTTTTTGTGTATTTAAGATGTTGTAGAGAACCTTTTGGGTGGTATAGACAGTGGGAATGTTCTTGAGAACGTATCGCCTCCGTTAAATAACGGTTTGATATGGGCAATAATTTTAAATTGTTTAGGGACAAATCCATTTTGAAAACATAAATTAAATATATGGGATAGAGGCATGGGGCTTTTTTCACAATAATACTAGTATTTTGCATTTATTATTGTTTTAAGCTCATTTGAAAAATTATTTTTAACTTTTTAGTTTGATATATGCTCTAAAAGCATGTTTTTTAGTTTTTTTTAAACTATATTTATTCAGTAATGGGTTTTAGAAAGAAAGATCTTTGAAAATTGGGAGAATGATAATTACAACTTATTTTATTAATTTTTGATGCCAATTTAACACCAATGTTTGAAAAATATTCATTAAAAGAATCAGCTATATCAGAAGGTTTAGTAATTTCTAAACCATTTTCTTCCAAAATTTTTTGTATTGTCGTTTTTAATTTTATAATTATTTGTGTAATCATTAACTACTTTCCAAAGATGTTTGGAAGATTTTTGATTTTTTAGCACTTCATTTTTAAAATACGTACTTTTTGTCTTTTTTATCTGTTTCCTTAAGATATTTCTATATGATATATATTCATTTTTTATATTTTCATTACCGGGATTAGATAAATGCCTACGAAATAATCGGTCTCTACTTTTGATAGATGTTACTAAGCCAAGGCTTTTTCTTATTCTTTGTTTTAAATTTAATTATTTTTGTAGACTCTTTTATATGTTTCATACTGTTGAAAAAATAAAGAGGAAGCTATTTCAGGATTTTGAGAATTTAAAATATTATCCCAATTTGTATTTTGAATATGACTAATCAAAATATTTAAATTTAGTTTATTATAGGTGGTTATAACCGGCTCTGTCTTTGGTTCACCTAACAGTTTTTTTAGCAATCATTACTGGAAAATGATCTGTAATAGAAGTTTGTATAATTCCCGAAAAAATGTAGTTATTATATTTATTTTTTCCTTTAACAAATATATGATCCAGACATGAAGCAGATTTATCTGTAATTCTTTATATTTATTAATTATTAGTGAAATGAATCCTCTTTCGTATAAAACATTTAAATAAGAATCCGTCACTGGATCATTTGTTAGGATATCAAAGTTCAAATCACCAACTACGAAGGTATAATCAAAATCAAGGTTAAAATTTTTTAGTAGCTCTGACAATGAATTTACGAAATTTTCTCCATTACTTTCTAGGGGTCTATAAATTGCCAGTAAAGCAATTTATTCATTATTTATTTGAAAATGTACATTGAAAATTACATAATGATAAAAATTTAAAAATCGATAAATTTTAAAATTCGTTTTTAGCGGCCTCAAAAACCCCTGATTGATTTTTACATCTATTTTGGAAAAAACTATGTCAAGTTATTGCGTTTTATGCAGGGCCGCCGACAGCCATGGTTGCAAGAGTCCCCCCACATATTATAATTTATTTTTTAATTTTTTACCTACAAACTCTTCATGTTCTACTAAAATGAATCACCCACGGATCGGAATAACTTCCTCTGTTTCACATTATTATCATTTTTAATGTCACCGTGAACTTTAAACGAATAGGCTAATAAAAACTGTTATCTAGGTCATAAAAAATCTGAAATTTTCTTTTTTTGATCTACTATTATACGACTAGCGGTGTTTACTCTCTGAAGCTGCCAAACCCCCTTGGGCCCAGGCCCCGGGGATTTTGCTCCTCTGTCCCTCCCTCTCGTCGGGCCTGGATTTATGTTTAAACCATTTATATTTTTTTAAATGTATTATTTTCGTTGGGCACGAAAAACAGACCAATAGTCTTATTCGACAATTCAGTGAAAAGCTATCATGTTTATCTTGTTTTGGTACAAGCGTCCACTTTTTGAAAATACTTCACGCGCATGTCGACTTATTCACCACTTTAAAACGTTGGAGAGAAAAAATGTCCCAGCGAAAATGGTGAAGGAAGTGAATTTTATAAAAAACATAACAAAAACTAAAGAATAAACTGAAAAACTAGCCATAAGAAAATAAGTCACACATCTGCACGTTGGCTCTAAGACTACAGTGACACCTTGCAATTTGTCAATTTGGGACAGTATTTTAATATTTTTTTACATCTGTTTCGTCACTAGTTTCGTTTGTTTATTTTTTTGTCGCTATAAATAGCTAGAAACAATAAAACATTTTTGTTCTGTGACGGGAAACAAGTTTGACATTTTATCTTGTCAGGTAACAAAATGTAAATTTTTATGAAATTACTTTTTTTCCAGTTTCCCGGGAAAAAAGTGCTTCCCTGGGAAAAAGTGAGTATTTTTTCGGGGATATATATATACACACAAGTAAAGGTAGATATTTTAGAATATCTTTTTCGATATTAAATCGTCGTTTTTCCCTCGGCTTTGCGTCAGGAGACAACACAACCACGAACTAAAATCTAATACTTTTTCCCTTCTATAATAAATAACTATTATCTAAAACTACAATCCATATTTCATTAGAGAGAATATTATTCATATTACACGGTATTTGTCTATTATACCCGACTAGAATTAAAAATCATTAATTTGTCAAGTTAGTTGACAGTTTTGTTATTGTATCGCTTTAATTTGATATCACTATATTTTAAGTACGTTTCGTGTTCGTATAGAGCCACCCTCAAGGACTTCTTTTTCAATTAGGTTTTGTACTTTTTGTGAAAGTTTTTGTTGATTTTGCTCTGTAAACCCTCTGCCAAATCACAATATATGTAAATATTACAAAAATTTTAAGTAGAAAAGATGGGAAATTAAAAAAACAGTATTTATATTTAATTGTTTTCAACTATTTATATTGTCTCATATTTCTCTTTTATGCTAGTCGGAAAACCAATCGGTTATTGGGCCATATTTGTTGCCGTTGTATAAAAGGACACATTTTAAACCGCGTTTTAAAGTGTCAATAAGAAGGCGCCATTCATATGTTGTGTATTTCTAAAATTTTAAAAAACCAATTTGTTTAAAAGATAGTGAACATTATAATACACGAAAATGTATGTCAGATAATCAGTAAGTTGTAGGAGCAGAACTAATTTTAGAATACTTACTTAAGTATGTCTATTTAAATAATTTGTTTCTTTTCTTTAAACAGGCACATATCTATAACCCTATTATTGTAATTTAAAAAAATCCTTGTGCACTCAACTTCCTCTCTTTTATAAGATAACCAATTATCAAAACAAAGCAATTTATTTTACAATATGAAATTTCATAGTAAAAGAAAAAGGTTGTAATTCTTTACAACAATATTTTCTCTTTTGTAGCAATTAATTCGACAATTAATTTAAATCAACAGTTGGTAAAACACTGACACACTAGATATCAAATAAATATCATTAATTCAAGCAATTAAATGTTGGTAACAAAATTAATTTAGTTTATTTCGGTCCCTTACCTTTTGTTCTTTTTTATAATTCACAACACTTATAAAGATTTGGCGCATCAACCAAATTATAGTTATATTTAATAATTCCGTCAATATTGTGGTTCCGTCGAAAGTACAAACTTTGAAGAAGTATCGAACAAAATATCTACTGACTGCTGGTGATTTTTGTCTGGACGCATCCACCGTGAAAAAAAAATACGCGAGATCGTGTGTAGTGAAAGTTGTCCATTTAAAGAAAGCTTGTTTCGTTCTGACTCGTGAATTTGATACCCAGAAGGTTGTCGCATAATTCTTATGGCAATAACTATTTGATTTTAAACTGATAAATAAAATATAAAAATAAAGGTGATAAATAAAAAATATAATAAGATTAATTCGTAGTCTAGTCATATGGTGACACACAGTATAAGCGATCTTGTAAAAAATGGGTTAGAATTTTTTAGTGGTTTATATGCTGTTTTTCTACACCCACATGGATATTAGCTATTTTACGCACATAATACAAAACGAAAACTTATACCTACCATTGCGTTCAATTGAACGAATATATTCCATATCCATTTTACCTAGTAGGAAAACTTTTATTGTTTCTTTAAATTTTAAATTTCATATCCATTCTAGGTAGTGAGAACACTGCAAAAAAATTAAATCCACCAATCACAGTTCATATTTTGATCAACCGACTGCTATTATTTTTAAAATTTTAAATAAGAGACAATTCTGTTAAACTAATTGTCTCTATATTTTTTAGTTATTGAGATTAATATACATTAAAATGAGTTATTCTTGTATAGAATCGATAAAGACTAGCATTTCTATTTTTATTTCTTCTATATTTAAAAATAAACCTTACATTTAATAAAACTATATGAAATCAATTTAATTAAGGGTATTAAAACTAAAATGTTACGTGTGGCGATGGAGCAGATACTAGGGCCTTTAACTTTCATGCAGATATCCCGGGTTCAATTCTCGGATTGTCGACCCTCACCGCTACCATTATGTTTGACGCTGGCTTCTGAGATTAGACTAAATGTTTCTTTGTACGCACCCCAACGCGTGAAGGAAGGATTTCACAAACGCATTTAGATTCTTCTAGCCAGTATTGTTTTTTTATATACTGTTGTCTCAGATAAACAAATGAAAAATAGATAACTAACGGTCTGGATTTGTTTGATGCCAGTATGAACCGTTTTATCTATTACTTTCTCTTTCTCCTGGATCTTTGATGTGATTCGTCTATTTTAAATAGCAGTGTCAAAATTTTCTCAGATATGTCAACAATCATGAGTGTCTAGAATGTTTTTTAACGAATTTTGTTAGTTTGAACTCTAAAAATTACTATTCAATGTTTGTTTGCCCTAAAACATAAATTTGGAGAAGTTTCACCACAGCATAAAGATAAACCAGCCGTTATCAAAGAATATAACATTAAACGTCATTATGAAACGAAGCGCGGATTAAAATCGCAGCAATCTTTCTTTACGAAAAAGCTATGAAATTCTTGATATTGATTATATTCACGGCACTACTACTGGGAAAGATATTTTTAAGGAAGTTGAAAATGCCATTAATAAAAATCTTTGAGGAGTTGGTGGCTCAGTAGTAGAATCTCTACCTGCGGATCCAAGGGTCCCGGGTTCGAGTCTCACCGTTGACCGGGATTTTTCATTTAATATCAATATTTAAAATTAATTCTGATGCCTTGGTAGGATTCTCCACTCGACTATTCACTGTTGGGTTCTAATTAACAGTGCTATTCCTAAAGTGGCGCTGGGAAACAGTAACAAAGCCTACACATAACACGAGGCTAATAACCTTAGTAGTTGATGCCGATTACACCAAAAAAAAATGAAATTCTTCTATGGAAAAACTTTAAATCTATTACAACTGATGGAGGTAAAAACATGTTTGGTAAAAATAAAGGAGTGGCTGCACTTGTGACAGAGGCTGTAGAAAATGAAGGTGGTTCAGAACCATTAGTCTTACAATGTGTCATTAATCAACAGTCTTTGTGCGGAAAATGTTTGGATATGTCTGAAGTTCTAAAACCAGTCATATCAGTTGTTAATTTTATCAGATCCACTGGGCTGAATCACCGACAATTCCGCGAGTTTATTGAAGAGATGGAAGAAAATAACTAACCATATCATACTGCCGTACGCTGGCTTAGTTGCGAAAAGGTCCTTCGGCGTCTTTTTGAACTTTTACCAAATTACAAAATAGCGAATAGCTGTGGAAGTTAGCATTCTATGTCGATTTGACAAAATATATGAACGAACTGAATTTGAGATTGCAAGGAGAAAATCAGGTTTTCTCCGATTTATATATACTAATATCAAATGGTTCTGGCAGAAAATAATACTGTTTCAATCACAATTGCGTACCGATAAATGTGCCTACTATGAATAGTTTTTCTTAATTCTTTAATTCTCTATTTGTGTTTATTAATTGTGAACGTTGGGATAATTGTCAGGTAAATGTTTTTCTTTTATTCCCATTTTGCTGGATTTCGTTGCAAAACCGAAGCTCGGCCATGTGCTTTTTTTTTATTACCACCATGCTGGAAAAAGCCGGTTTCTATATTTTATTTCATTTTATATAGATTATAGCTACCCTAACTAATAATATTTTTTTAAGCTTTCTTATATATTAATATAAATGTGTTATCATTGAATTACTTTGATATATACGCGGTGAGGCAACTAAATAATTGAATTACAAGTCAGTCTGGAAATACAGTTTAAACGGAAATTTATGGCTCCTAACTTATTTTTGCCTTATAAATATTTTATATTCTGTTCAGATGATGTAACTTTAAGATCTGTCGTGATATTTTATATTTTGTTCAGATGAAGTAACTTTAATATTTGTCGTGATATTTTATATTCTGTTCAGACGATTTAACTTTAATATTCGTCCCGTTTATGCATAAATCCGTTAGATTTCCAAACTGGCATGTATATGTACTTTTACACACGGTACTGAGGTTCTTTTATTTCTAAACCTGTAGTGGCTCCAAGAAGAGTACTCTATACATCCAAATATTGTCTCCAACAAGAAGAGGCTACTCTACCTCTAAGTACTCTCAACAAGAAGAGGCTACTCTACCTCTAAGTACTGTCAACAAGAAGAAGCTACTTTACCTCCAAGTACTCAAGTACTGTCTTTAAGAAGAAGCTCTAAGATCATTTAAGAAGCTCCAGGCTCTTCCATGAAAACGTATTAAGAAGCTCCAAGCTCCTCCAGGAAGCTCCTAGTTGCCTCTAGCTATAAAAAAAAGGGAAGTACCGTACCTACGTACTAAAATACCACCATTTATCGTATTATCTTCAGTAAATTAAAACAACCAACTCTATTCACTATTTAATTTGTAGACTTATATAAATTTAATCTTTCACCATTTTTTTTTCATTAAATGTATTAAATTTTCTCACTTTCTTTTATTTGCCAGAACCCATACAGATAACTTAGTACCAGAGATGGACTCAATTAAACGGGACATTTAAAATCAGATAAGTTTTCCAAGTAACTGAAAAACTTGGTGGCTCTCAACTTTTTTGTTGTTGTCTTATTTTAATATCTTTCATTTTATCTTAAAGTAGATCTTGGCCCGCGAACAGGTCAAGCTACTCTATTTTATTTGTCCTGGTCAATTTTTGAATCCACACATATCAGCAATTTGAGCTAAATTACTTATTAAATAATTAACAACATAGAAATCTAGAAAGAAGGTAACACATTTTTTGGTAGGATAAGGTGTATTTTTCTTCTTTCATATGTTATTCTTCAAGCAAGCAATATCCTTTTGGGTCAGCGTATTTAGAGAAAATTTGCTACTGTCAATAGCCGTCCTTATAACTTTGGCAGGTTCCTCAACTAGATCATCTGCTGCACGTTTTTTCGCAATTGAATTTACTACAACAAACACACTTAATAGTGGAGACAAAATACGACAAAATAAATAGGCAGTATAATTACAAAGTGTAGAAAATTTACCCATTAGACGATTTATCGTTCTCTCGGAGCTGTCATGGTTGTGATGTAGTTTACTTCTTGATACGATTTTTTCATCTCCACTGCCAACAGTCCAAATTTTAGCGCTGCAAGTTCGCTTGCTACATCGCCAAAAACACACCGCTTTTTATTTCCTTTTGAAAAGTGTACTTAAAACTGTCATACACCAAAAGAACTTTTCCGCGGATACTAGTCATAGTTTGGACATCCATTTTCAGAAAAAAAGGTGGTCTTTGCCGTATCGCAAACAAAACGCAACTGATTTCATCAAAAACCGAAAAACGATGATTAACATTCCATCCCTGTAACTAGCCCAAAACATCCCATCTATGTTAATAAGCTGCAATTTTAGACTCTTTAAGCTCGCATGCGATGTACTTTTAATGTAACCCTAATACCCATGCAACCTCCGAATGTCCGCAACGGCAAGACTTTTATAGCACATCTCGTAGAAGTTATAAAGTGAAGTTCGGAAAACATTTAGCACTTTTACGGTACTTACTCCGAAAGTTGCTCTGAAACTTTCTATAGATCTTATAATGTGAATTCACTCTACAGCATTATACAGTGTGTCTACGGATGGACTTAACAATACTTGTAAAAATATTTATTTTAAATTTAAAAGTACTTCTTCATAATTTCTTTTGCTTGTTAAATAAATACGATTAACGTTGAGAAATTATGAAAAAGACCTCTTTTGAAAAATTTAAAATAAATATCTTTACAAGTACCTATAGTTATGTCCACCTTGGATACACTATATTCAAAATAGTATATTGAGGATATAGTAAAATCTGAAGAAAACAAAATAAAAAAATTGTATAAATTTATTATTAAGAAGCTTTTTAAATCAAGTACCAATATCATACAAGTAAAGGTAGGTATTAATAATACAGGTAACGCAATTACACATGTGTGATACCATAAGGTAGCTATAAAACACTGACAAATTGGACAAAAGTAGGTATAAAGGGTATATAAGGAATATCTCAAAGGTTCAGTAGAATCGAAAACATTGAACGCTTGCATGAAAGAGTATAATAAGGTATCTATATTGCAAAGGTTCACTCGTAGCTAAAATGGTGAACGATTGTAGAAAAGTAGTAAAAAGTGTATTTATATAAGGTACATTTCAAAGGTCACTTGATTTTTATTAAGATGGCAGTTGTACGATGCTAAAAAAAAGATATTTGCCTACAACTGGTACTAATCATAGTT